GCCCCTGCTGCCGGTGCTCGGGGCCGAGGCTCCGCAAGCTGAGCTGGGGCCTGGCGGTGGTGCTGTGCGTGTGCGCCTCCTGGGCCGGCTCCACGCAGCTCGCCAAGCTGACCTTCCAGACGTTCGACGCGCCCTTCACCCTGACCTGGTTCGCCACCACCTGGAACTGCTTGTTCTTCCTGCTGTACTACGCGGGCCACGCGTGCAAGGCCGCAGAGAGGCAGTCGGTGAGGCAGCGATACAGGTAGGGCTCCCGCGGCCGGTGCTCTCCGGGGCCGCTGCTCTCCCGGGGCCGGTGCTCTCCGGGGGCCGCTGCTCTCCCGGGGCCGGTGCTCTCCGGGGGCCGGTGCTCTCCCGGGGCCGGTGCTCTCCGGGGGCCGGTGCTCTCCGGGAGCCGGTGCTCTCCCGGGGCAGGTGCTCTCCCGGGGCAGGTGCTCTCCCGGGGCCGCTGCTCTCCCGGGGCCGGTGCTCTCCCGGGGCAGGTGCTCTCCCGGGGCCTGTGCTCTCCCGGGGCAGGTGCTCTCCCGGGGCCGCTGCTCTCCCGGGGCCGCTGCTCTCCCGGGGCCGGTGCTCTCCCGGGGCAGGTGCTCTCCGGGAGCCGGTGCTTTCCCGGGGCTGGTGCTCTCCCGGGGCTGGTGCTCCGGGTGCTGGCTCTGGGACAGGCCTGACCAGGTACAGGGCCACCTGATGTGTTAGTGGGACCCACCGAATTCTCTCTCCCCTCGGTGGTGAACACCCGCTCCTCCGCCTCCAGCCCCCAGCCCTGGGAGTGCCTTTACAGGAAACAGGAGAGGCTGTGTCTTCCAAAATGGCCTAGGGCAGGTCCCCAGAAAGGGTGGGAGTGGGGCGCTCTGTGGCTGCTCCTCTGGCTGGGGAGTCCTCGAAACCAGGTGACAGGGCGGCTTCTTGTGGCTCAGATGTTCTCTGCAAGGATCTGATCACTCGCTCCCCTCCCAACCCACGTGCCTCCCCCTTTGGTTGTGTCTGAATACCTGGCAGTGTGGCTACAAAATCAGAGCGGTGTCTGGACTTTGCTGACCTTATTTTCTCATATGGAATCCATGGTTTGATGTTCCTTTCAAAAAGAGGCTGGAAACTTGACCCGGCCTTTTACCTCCCCGAGCCCTCCTCTGCAGTCACATGTGGGTGATGACCCTCCTCCTCCCCTGTGCCCATCGCTGGAGCTTGTCGCTGCCCAAAGCAAGGCCTCCGTGGGCTGTGTCAGGGCCTCCTGCTGGCCCAAATTAGGCCTGCTCAGAGCTAAAATAAACAGGAAAAAATGCTGGCCAAGGTGATCAGGGAGGCCCTGGAAATGTACCTTTTGTCAGTCCCAGAGGTGGAAAAAAATTGCAAGTTGAAGGGTCTTCATCCCTTCACCACCTACCAAACGTGTACACTCTAAAATCGCTTGTCCCATCTGCCGTCTGCTTCCAACTTCAAGCCCATTCCGAAGTTGCCCTTGGGGTAGCTAAGAACATAGTTGGGTCTCGGGAGCAAAGAGGTTTGGAACCCAGGTCTAGACGCAGGTCCGAGCCTGGAAATCCTCCATTGTGTCGCTGTACACTGTAGTTGGAGGTGTGAGGGGTCAGACTCGTTTAATGTCCGGAGGGAACTGGACTGGCTCCTTGGGAGGTTGTAAGTCAGAGCACCTCTCTGGAGGAAGGGCTTGGATAAGCTCTGTTGAGTCACGAGCCAGCCTCACAGGTCCCCTTAGGGAAAGGATTCAGAGAGACTTCCAGAGGCAAGGCTTGCAGGAGCCTGGAACCGGAACTGGAACCAGAACCGGAGCCCAGGTCTGGGCAGGCTCAGTGTTGACTAAGCCAGAAGTTGCTAAAGCGACAGTGCACCTCCTCTGAACAGCAGCCAGATGCAGGCTGAGACCAATAGGGTAAGAAACTTTGATAGGGCCCAGGATTGTCCCAAAGGCAAGAGAAAAATAATTCACTATTCAGTAAATGGCATATTTCACAGTTAAGTAGCCCTGAGTGAATTTAATTTGTAATTAGATGTTTTGCCTTTCTCTACACTGACTCGGATCTGCTGTTGCTGTCTTGGACAGAGGGCCAGCAGTGAGCTCACGTGCTCTTTCCTGATAGAGATTTACAAGGAAGAAAGATGAAATGTCCTTTCCCTGCCCCCTGCAACCATGCTGGCTGCAAGAGGGCCTCCCCAAGGTGTAGTGCTGGTGGCTGTCCTCAGCATGTCCCCTGAACATGACCCTCACTTACCTTAGGATAAGACAGTGCTGCTGGCCACCTAGGGCAGGCCCTGACCACTACGCTCAAATAATGCAGAAGGAACCAAGCTCAGCAGTGTTTAAGGTCGAGGTAGGGAAAAGAGAAACGTCCTTGAAGCGGATTAGTTAGACCTAGAAAGACATCAGTCAGTCCCTGATACCAGCACATTGTCTCCTGTTCTGGGAGGAATCAAGAAAGGATTCTGGTGCCTGCTTGTCAGCTGGGAGCAGTGGAGGGGAGGGTCATGGCCATAACCTGATCGGCGAAGCCAGTCATACCGTGCCCGGTCTCTCTAATAAGGCTCAGCTTAAAAGCGTCCTCGTGATTGGGAGCCCTCTTAGCCCTGTGGCTAAGCAGGCTGCTAATTTGCCAGCTACTTGTTGGGTAAGTTGAGTAAGCAGGCTGCTAATTTACCAGCTGCTTGTTGGGTAAGTTGAGTCGTGCATACCACTGGAGGGTGAAGAGAGATCCTTTCTCAAAACAGGGAGAGGAAAATTTTCACATCAGACTTAGGAAGTCACGACTCTGTCAGTGATCCAATCGAGAGTTCTTCAAACAGACTCTAGGGTTCCCAGAAATCAACGAAAACTAAAATCACATCTTCCATTTTTTGTGCTTTTGTCAAAATTAATGCCAGAGAAGGAAAGATCTAGAGCCGGCCCAGGAGATGTGTCTCTAGCTAAACGTGTTCCTGCAGGGAGCTGGGGTGCACCGTGGGGAGAAGAAAGGCGGAGACCTGCACAGAGAGGGAGGCTGGACAGGTCTGCCAGCCTTCTCTGTGGTCCTCGGGAAGCAGCCACACAGAAGTGTCTCTTCTCCAAGCCCTCCCCACCTAGGCAGCTTCCCCAGTGGAAGCTACAAGTCAGCCAGAGCAGAGAGAGGGAAGCATATTGCCCAGCGCAGAGCTCCCCACACCGCACGCCCCCGGCTCGCCTGGAGCTTGTCGAAGGGCCGGCACCGATTCAGTAGGTCTGAGTGGACCTGAGATTCTGCTTTCTTAACAAGCTTCTGGGGGTGCTGGTGCTGCTGGCCCACGGGCTGCACTTTGACTGGGGAGGCCCTGGAATTGTTGAGTCTCTGCCGCGGGTTTTTTAAAATGCTACTGATCTGACCAAATGTAGGAAGCAAGACCCACGTACCAGGTAGAATGACAGGTGACTTGCTGGGGACCCTGAGGTGGTCTGAGCCCTGGTCCTCTGCCAGTTGTGAGGGAGGGGGCCCTGTGGGCAAGTCATTTCAGCTTTGGGTGCCTCCGATGCTCACTTGTAAGTGGAAGGTGATGGCCAGTGGCTGAGCACAGAAGGCGGTTGTGTGATCGTGTGATCACATGAGACACCATATGTGCAAGTGTCCGATAAACTGGGAAATGCCTAGATATGGGAGGAGCCACACTGCGTCATGGTATCCTCTGTGAGTGATATTGAAGGATGTACCCATGCCTAGGTCACCAGCTGCCTTGTGGTGCCTATTTAAACGACATGTGGGTTTTCAAGGATTGCTAACCCCTTGTGGTGTCCACAGGTTGCTTTGCCTTGGAGGTGTCAACACGGGGCCCTGCTGGCTGCACAGGGCACCCTAGCGCTGCCTCCTCGTGACTGGTGCTGCTGCTGGGAATGGGCATGAATGTGAAAATCCCAGCCCAGCTGTCCTGTGGTTGCCCCACTTAGGCCCTCAAAACATCCTGGAGAAAAGCTAGCTTCTCCCTTTCCCCAGATGATTGACACCCAACCCTCATCTTCCCTGTTCTTGGCTGGCAGCTGGCCACAGATGCCCTAAGGGAGCAGCAGTGCCCAGGACCTGGGAGGGCTCTGGCCACAGAGATGCCTATGGGTGTTGGACATACAGATGTGGCCTGAAGGGGCTCAGCTCCCTGGAGCCTCCTGCACAGCCAGGTGTCAGGGAGAGGCGCAGGGAAGAAGCTGTGCCAGGTGCATGGCCCTGGAGAGGCTGTCGAGGGCAGGGGTAATGACACACAGCCTCCTAGCCCCTCTGACCCTGCTCGGATCCCACAGGCAGCCGCCAGCAGAACCGGTCCCGGCAGATCTGGGGCAGTTGCACAGGTCTGAAGCCTTCCAGGAATTTCCACCAGCAGTGACCTCTTTTCCTCAGCAAATGCTTGTACCTGCTATCACATGGCTCCAAGAAAAGTGAATGGAACAGTGGCAACAGGTGCTCACCTCCGCCTTCTGACAGCTTCAGGCTCCTGGAAGCTGGGCAGTTCATTCTGTTTCAGAAACGCTGAGAAGCATCGGAGCCCAGGAGGGGAGGGCAGCCTTGATGCCTATAAACTTACCTCCTCCCAGGGCCCTGTGTGTGTGTGCGTGTGTGTGTGTAGACACATGGAATCAGGGGGAGGGGTCTTGTAGCTGTAATGTTCAAAGCCTGAGGAGCAGAGCGGGGTGGTTGCAGTCTGGTGGTTCTTTCTGGAGATGTTATTTAGCATCTTTTCTGGGCAGGGCACTAGGGACACAATTATAAATGGTCCCTGTCCTCAAGGAGCCCACAACCCAGTAAGGGAATCAGATAGACGAACAAGGTCAGGGCTGTGCAGGGGGCCGGGAGAGGCCCAGGGATGGGCCCTGGGCCAGAGGTTTCTTATAGGAAATGACCTGGGAACAGTCTCTTTAAAGATGAGCAGTTCGCCCTTGAGGTGCTGAGTTCTGGGCAGGCAGAGAAGGTGGCGCCTGAGGGAGCTTGGACTCAGTGTAGGAGGAAGCAGGGCGAGGCGACAGAGGGGACCGGGAAGTTAGGCAGGAGCAGACCTGTGGCCCTCCACACCGTGCAAAGAGGTCTGACTGCCCTGTGCACACTGCGGAGCAGGCGCAGGATCTGGGCAGAGCAGGGAAGTGATTGGCCTGGACCTTTAGACCTACCGCCACTCGAGGGCAGGGCTGTGGGGTGTCCCACTCAACAAGCCTTCCCGGTGTCTGTATGTCCGGGGCCTGTGGGCAGGTTTGGGCGACGTGGGTGTTGTTACAGACCTGAGAAGCTCATAGCGAGTGCAACA